TATACTCAATCTGAAATTTTATTATGTGTAAAGGGTCACCCTATAGATGAAAAAAAAGCTCACACCGACCCCAATTTCGAGGGCCCAAAAACGGGCGAATTTGTGCATGGCTCTTTAAATGCTTACTTCATGCCAGTTATACGATTTGACAAATTATTTGGTGAAGCTACTCTAAGCAAAATCAATCAAAATATTCTCCGCTAGCGTCAATATAGGTATACTGTATCAAGGGGCGGTAGCCACCCCCCCCTCCCCCCGGGTAAGCTTACAGTGTAGTATTTGCAACAAGTTTTTCTCTTTTTCAAATAATTTTCTGACTGAGGCCATTTTAACTTGAGGTTGAAATTCAGTCGATTATTACCTGAATCGCTCAAATTCAACGGAGTGCATAATAGGTATATGCAAAATTTTCTTAACTTCATGTTTCAAGTCACGTTCCTAGATGTTATACTCTGTTAAAAGAAAAAATACTTTTGTGGCCGATGAAGCTTGGCTTGACGCACACTTTTATTGATAAATTATTTACCTCTTACAGGAAATACTTTTTATAATGAGTGAAACAAAGAAAAAATAATTTTAACTCTTTGAATGGACTTTCCTCTTAGTGGTCTCACTGTTATTTAATTTAAAATTTTAGTGGCTGAATGTAAGTATGTCCAACAGTTGAGTTAAACGCAGTAAAAGTTGCAGAATTAATGTTGAAACTTTATGAGTGAGGATTAATTTAGGCGGCAAAAGAAGTTCATTCTAAGTAGCCTACACTATGACAATTATTTGCTAATCCATCAGTTTTAAAAACATAATGTACCCTTTTTCGATGAGAGAAGTTTAAACTCACCAAAACATTAGGTAACTTTTACTGATTGCAAACTGAATCACCCCCTATTAATGTTTTGTTGATCAAACAAGAAATTCCAGTTCTGCTTATTGAAAATATTATTCTCAGTTTCTCAGTCTCCAACCAAATATTTCATTAGCTTCACATCATTCCAAAAACGACCTGATATAAAAACTACAAAAAACCCCAAAAAACTTTCAGATTCTAAGGGGCAAAGAATCCGGCCAAAGTCTTAAACTTGTTGAACCAAATTTTCTTATTACTCCTAAAAGAAAATTAAAAATTGTACTTTACTGAAAATCGAATGTGGGGCCCCTTCAAATATGAGTGATGCAACAGTCATGACGTGTAAAGCTATGGATGAAAACGTGTTCAGGTCATCATACCTTATAGGTGTTTTTTTTTTTTTTTTTTTTTTTTTTTTTTTTTTTTTTTTTTTTTTTTTTTTTTTTTTTTTGGTGAAAAACGTTGGGGTGTGTAGTATATCATGAAAGAGGAATATGGGCCGTTTTGATATCATTTCCTTTTAAATGACGAATCCAAAAGGTACTGCCATCAAATTTTTTGGGTGCCTGATTTTTTTTTTTTTTTTTTTTTTTTTTTTTTTTTTTTTTTTGTAATTAGTGACATTTTTTGGATTGGGCCGAAATTTTGTACAAATATCATATTTTTGTTTTTTTTTGATAAGATTACGGAAACACTCTTTTCTCTCCGTCTATCATTAGAATATGCCTCAATTAAATCGTTAAATCCTTCATTATTCGGAAGGTTTAGAGCCACCACCTTTTTGCGCCTGGTTTCTGCTTGTAAGAGTCTCATTTTTCCCGCGAATATCCCGTTTCTGTAATAGGCTCCTACGTGGTCATGATCGTCGATGACTGGTTTTGGTGCCAAAACGAGAGCTCTAATGCGAGGGGCACCAAGTAGTTGCTATATTGATGAACAAAAATGTCAAAACAGAGGTGGAGACTCCGTCAAAAAAAGTGGTAAGATCTACTTAATAATCACTATAAAATGCCTTTTTGATGTGATGCATAGCTGCAATAACCCGAATCTGCAAAAATCGACTCTGCACAGATCCTAACCCTAAAATGTACAAGCGGCAACAGGAAGTGGTCTCAATAAAATTGAGTTTTCTCGCAAACCCTTTGACCGTTTTTCAGAAACTTGAGCTTGTTTCATGTGCTTTCATACTGATTTGATTAATCTATTTTCGTTCGGAAGGTTCAAGGTGGGGAACCTCACTCCTCGGATGACCTTCGTCCTTGAGGGTAGGTTCATGACTTACAATACGTGTATGGCTTTTTGGAAAAATAGATATTTCCTTTCCTCGGGAATTAAGTTTTAACTTCCAGACCTAAGACTTCATTCTGCTGGTCTAGTGACACAAAAATTATTATCAAGTCCCATGATTTTTATTTTTTGTCGTGAAGTATTATTTTGAGAATATATAATAACATTCTAAAAATGACGTCCTTAAAGAGAGGGATTTAGCTTTTTGAGCAAAGAGGGAAGAGGCAAGAGTTTGAACGGAAGAAAACCAGCTTTTGCATTTTTGGCAGATATTGCCTTTTCGTAATCTGAAATAAGTTGTGAATGTTTTTGACCTTTGCACGCGTTATAAGAATGAAAAGCGTTTTGAAATTAAACAGTTTTAGCGGATGGAAGCAGCCAATTGAGACTTGAAACTAAATTTTCTGAAATCATAATTTTTTTAATTGCAAAACTTCCCGTTTTCATTACTTGGTCTTAGGTATTTGAAATTATGGATGTGTTTGTAGTTAACCGTATTCATTACGTTGAAATTCTGTGGACCTCTCCTTCAAGAATTCGGGGCTGTAACTGAGTTTTAGGTGTTTTGGTCACATTTCGGTGGTAAATCTGCAGAAATTCGTGCATCGGTTTGCTGCGTTGCAGGTTTGCAAACTTTATTTTTTTCTTCAAAAGCCACTTAACGTCATTTCTTGGAAACGACGGTGATTTTTCTTCTCTGTATGAAAAGTATTCTGTAAGAATTTCTAACCATGATGTTGGTTCGGCCTCCTTTAAAATATAAAATAGGAGCGGAGATTTTGAAACACCGCAACCGAGATACGCATTTTTGCAGTTTCGTTATGAATTTCCTTTGAACTGTTCGATTTGCGCGTTTATTCCTACCCATTTGAAATTTTGTGTCATTAATTTGACCATGAACACCTGCTGGTATTAATTTTTTTAATGCTTTTTGTTTTATGGTTGTTCTTCTTTTCCAGATCCTGGCCATTGCCAATGAAATAAAAGCTGAAGAATTGGACTTTGTTCTTCGTTTTCCCTACGTAACTGGATTAACCAGCCCTGTAGATTTCTTAACCAGCCAGTTATGGGGTGGCATTAAGGCTCTTGCAATGATGGATGATTTCAGGTAGGTATGATTTGAGATACTCCGTTTTCAATTTATTATTTTGTATCCTATTTATCCAGTATTTCTCCTCGTTCAGTTGTCTTAGCTTAAGATTTCCCTTGCAAAAAGGTTGTCCCATTTTCCATAGGAAATGGCCGCAAGAGCTTTTTCATCCATACTTTCAGGAATCATAACGTATCATCGGAGAAGCCTAAAGCCGAGGTCATTTCTCGTCTAGGCCCCCAGGGGGAGGGGGGCAGGGGATCAAAGGTCAAACGCTCCGACCGCCATAACTTTTGAACGAATCATCGGATCAACTTGATCTTGGGCTCAAATGAAAGCTCTTGACAAGACTTTTCATTTGATGTATAGTAGTGTCTATTCTTGGTAATTTTTCAACGTAAAAAAAATCATTTTTTGATTTGTCAAGCCAAAATAATTCAGTTTTTTGGGGTTTTCTCTAAAACGGAACGCATGAATCATTACAAAAACCAATTCTAATGAAAGCCTTTGATTTAAGCCTTAAAACGAGCTATTGTTGAGTTTGGTGAAATGAATGGTTCAAAAGTTATGACCGTTCAATGTTGGCATGGCGCGCTATTTTCGGAGCGCGTGGAGTGTATACTCGCGTGCCACCCCTCCCTACCTACCTTTTCCCCTGAGGCTCGCTTCAATTGATAACGGATACAGAAAGGTCCAAAGCTCCTTCCACCTAAAGAATGACCGATCATTAGTATCATAGGCTACTATCATAGTCCGGCCACAATTGTGCGAGCTCTTCAACGACTGCTGCTGAAAATTCACGCCCATTGTCGCTTTGAAAAATACGGGGGGCGCCCTGGTTCAGGAAAATTTTTAAAAGTTCCATGGCCACCTCCGCTGCTCTTTCACTCGTCAGGGGGCGCAAGTGGCAGAATTTGGTGCCATGGTCCTGAAAATTCAAGAGCCACTTGAAGTTACCGTCCGGAGCTGATTGTAAGTCGATAAGGTCCACTTGGCCCCTGGAGTTGAAATCACGTATGACGTTATTGGCTGCACCACTATGATCTTCCGGGTCATTTGTTTCTTATTATGATTAATTGTGCACATTTCAATAAAAATTTGAATGACTGGTCGTGTAATAAAGAGCTTCTTTTTTATTTCATGCTATATTTTGTCACGGCCACCGTGTCCCGTCCTAATATGGCATTCCATGAGTTTTTCAAAAAGTTAATCGTAAGGTGCGACAAAAACAGCTGGCTCGCCCTCTTTCCTAGGCTTGAAAACGATATTAATTACTGCACCTACCTCTAAAATGTCGTACTTTCTCCGATAATAGTCGTCAAAATTTTTGTTTTGCCCCTCTTCCACTCCTGAACCGTCTCTCCGCAAAGCTTTTAAAACCTTGTTAAAATGATCCTCCCTCCAGGGATTCGTCTTAGTCATGTCTGTCTCCTTAAAATATTCATCCAATTTCTCATAAAACAGATCTTTGTTCACTATTACTTCACTACCTGCAGCCATTCTTACGATTAAAAGTCGTTAACCGAAAATAAAATATCAAATCGGATTACAATCGAAAACAACAAAAAATTGCAGAGTGAATAGTAACACAAAACGGAATTGTGGCACTAAAACTGGAAATAAAAAACAAAACTTCGAATTCAACGAAAAAAACGAAGGGACAACGGCACGAAACGCAAACAACGGATCGTAGGCGACTGGCGGTCATCGGCAGCTCGAAAATCGTATTTGATGTTGTTTTTATCATTTTCGGCAGTCCTTATGTGTAAGTACGTGTTATCAGTCGAGTGTTTTGGTCACCTACTCTCTCCACATCGTTGTGTTTTGTATCTGGTTGCCAGATCATTACGATAAAAAATCTTATTTCGATGAAAAGTTAGATTGTTATTTGCCTGAATTCTGGTTCAACTCCAGCTTGCTTCGGCATACAGCAAGTTGCCTAGGCAAACAGCAAGTTGCCTAGGCAAAAAGTAAGTTGCCTAGGAAAACAGCAAACTGCCTAGGCGAATAGTCATCTGCCTAGGCAAATAGGCATTATAGCTATTTGCCTAGGCAGATGGCTATTACCTAAAATTGTTAAATGCCTGCCACATATACTCGCGTGCCACCCCTCCCTACCGTTTCCCCTGAGGCCCGCTTCAGTTGATAACGGATACAGAAAGGTCCAAAGCTCCTTCCACCTAAAGAATGACCAATCATTATTGTTATATTACTTTTATTTCTATCGAAAAAAGGGAAATAAAAATAAATTAAATGCTAATAAACGATGAGACGCTGGCATATATTATTTTTTCGCCCCCCCCTTCATGATTTAATATTTGATGTAGCCGAATCAAGTCTCTCATCATTACGGCATCTGATTATTCCCGTGCAGGTAAATCTTGATGAGAGGGAAATAGGTCGGAGAGAGGTTAGGGAGAGATATTCAGTAGTAAATGCGAGTTTCAAGTGCTGGTCGGCTAGTTGCGTACCACACCCTATGAATATTATCCACAGCTTTTGAGTGTATTTTGCGGTAAAAAAGCTTGATTTGGCTATTAAATATTAAATCATGGAGGGGGGGGGCGAAAAAATAATATATGCCAGCGTCTTATCGTTTATTAGCATTTAATTTATTTTTATTTCCCTTTTTTCGTTAGAAATAAAAGTAATTTAACATTAATGTTTGGTCATTCTTTAGGTGGAAGGAGCTTTGGACCTTTCTGTATCCGTTATCAATTGAAGCGAGCCTCAGGGGAAAAGGTAGGTAGGGAGGGGTGGCACGCGAGTATACACTCCACGCGCTCCGAAAATAGCGCGCCACGCCAACATTGAACGGTCATAACTTTTGAACCATTCATTTCACCAAACTCAACGATAGCTCGTTTTAAAGCTTAAATCAAGGGCTATCATTAAAATTGGTTTTTGTAATGATTCATGCGTTCCGTTTTAGAGAAAACCCCAAAAAACTGAATTATTTTGGCTTGACAAATCAAAAAATGATTTTTTTTACGTTGAAAAATTACCAAGAATAGACACTACTATACATCAAATGAAAAGTCTTGTCAAGAGCTTTCATTTGAGCCCAAGATCAAGTTGATCCGATGATTCGTTCAAAAGTTATGGCGGTCGGAGCGTTTGACCTTTGACCCCCTGCCCCCCTCCCCCTGGGAGGCTAGACGAGAAATGACCTCGGCTTTAGGCTTCTCCGGTGATATGTTATGATTCCTGAAAGTATGGATGGAAAAGCTCTTGCGGCCATTTCCTATGGAAAATGGTACAACCTATTTTAGTTTAATTTTTGAGGAAAATAGGTACTTTATTGCATTATTCCATGATGTCGGACCCACACCTGGAGACCTTGTGAAGAGAATCAATCACGGGTCGTAGATAACGAAATATGTGTCATTTAAATTCATTTAGGGTGTAACAAAAGGCCGTCCCACCCCTGCTAACTTTTGAACGAATTGAGCTAGGGAAATGAAACTTTAGGAATATTCCTTTCTCAAAGGAGACCATCTTTTTTTTTTGGGGGGGGGGGGGGCANCAGGAGGGTGGTGGGGGACCCCCAACTTTTTTTTTTAAAATGGCAACCCCTTTCTTGTGATACATCATTCGAAAGAGCATATAAAACTAAGACTTTTGGCGCAAACCGCAGATCAATATCTTAATTTTTGACAGAATTATGACAGGTCAAAGGTCAAATTTGACCTATCTTCAAAAAATCATAACTCCGGTTCAAATTATCGGAAAGCAAAAACAAAACGGGAAAATTTACCAAATTGTGTCCGCTTTTAAGTAAAAATTGCAGAAATCACTTCGAACTAATTTTAAGGGGGGGGGGGGGTTCGGACCCCCNGGGTTCGGACCCCCAAATACGTCAATTCAAAGGTCATTCAATTTCCCCGCGAAATAATTCAATTCCCCCAGATTTGCCTCCACACTATCTCAGTAAGGTCAAATTAAGTTCAACATTTCGTTGGCATGTCTCCAAATTTCGGGGAAAGTAAAAAAAAAACGAAATTTAAGGTGATTATATTTGACCGTTCAAATTTGGTTTTTTTTTAACTTTTCCCGAAGTTTAAGGATTGCCAACGTAACATTGAGCTGATTTTGACCTTAATGAGATAATATGGAGGCAAATCGAGGGGAAATTAGCTGATTTCGCGGGAAAATTAAATGACCTTTGTATTGACGTATTTGGGGCTAGTTTGATGTTTTTTCTGCAATTTTTACTTTAAAGCGGACACAATTTGGTAAATTTTCCCGTTTTGTTTTTTCCTTTCCGATAATTTGAACCGAAGTTATGATTTTTTGAAAACAGGTCAATTTTGACCTTTGACCTATCATACCTCGGTGAAAAATTAAGATATTGATCTGCGGTTCGCGCCAAAAGTCTTAATTTTGTATGCTCTTACGAATGAGGTATCACAAGATAGGGGTTGCCATTTGAAAAAAAAAGTTGGGGGTCCCCCATCCCCCTCCTGAGGTGGGACCAAAATTTTGACCCCCCCCCCGAAAAAAAGATGGTCTCCTTTGAGAAAGGAACATTCCCAAAGTTTCATTTCCCTAGCTCAATTCGTTCAAAAGTTAGCAGGGGTGGGACGGACTTTTGTTACACCCTGTATGTATACAGGGTGTCCCAAAAGTCCCTTCCACCCCCTCTAAAATTTTACCTAATTAATATTTTGAAACGAAACTTTGGGGATGTTCATCGATCAATGTAAGCTACTTTTGGGGCCCCCCAGAATTAACGGGGCCCCCCGTGGGGAGGGGCTGCGGACCCCAACTTTTTTTTTCAAATGGCAACCCCTATCTTGTGATACCTCATTCGAAAGAGCATAAAAAACTAAGACTTTTGGCGCAAACAGCAGATCAATTTCTTAATTTTTGACCGAGTTATGATAGGTCAAAGGTCAAATTTGACCTATTTTTAAAAAATCATAACTCCGGTTCAAATTATCGTAATGAAAAAAATAAAACGGGAATATTTACCACATTGTAAGCACTTTTCAGAAAAAATCACAGAAATTACTTCA